ATGTTCAAGACGCTCAGCAGCTAGGGACACACTGAGAAACCCTGTCCCGGGACTGGTGGTCGATTCACAGTTCCTCAGCCCCGCTGGGCGGCATTGTTTCTCTTCGTTTCACCCTGCGGGAGAAACTTGGTAATAATCCATCCCAGGAAGCTCCGGGGGCCTGTTTCACTGTGCCCTACAGGGTCACTAGGAATCCAAATGGACTCCATGGCAGTGGGGTTTGGTTGGGTGGCGCTGCGAGTTAGGCATTGCACTATGAACCATCAGGCTGGCAGTTCAAACCCATCAGCCGCTCCGCAGGCTAAAGATGAGTGAGTCTGTGTGCTCCCGGAGAGATTCACAGCTTCTGAAATCCTATGCGTATATAGGGCTCATGCTGAATCAGAATAGACTCATTGGCAATGGCTTACTTGTTTGGTTTGGGGGTTTTTTGGTGATGAATTTGGAGCCCTGGTGGCATAATGGTTTATGTACTGGATTGGGCTACTAACTGCAAGGTCAGCAGTTCGAAACCACTAGCTGATCTGGAGGAGAAAGAGGAGGCTTTCTACTTCTGTAAAGAGTTATGCTTTGGGGAACCCACAGGGACAATACTACCCTGTCCCATAGGGTTCCTGTGAGACAGGACTGACAAGGTGGCAGTGAGTTTGGTTTGGGGTCTAGACCCAGATCAGAGTCCTTCTCTTGGAGCAAACGCTAAACAACAGCAGCTACTACTATTACTACTACTGCTGCTGCTGCTGCTGCTACTACTACTACTGCTACTCGTACTATTGCTGCTGCTGCTGCTGCTACTACTACTACTGCTGCTGCTACTACTACTGCTGCTACTACTACTGCTGCTACTACTACTGCTACTGCTACTACTACTGCTACTGCTACTACTACTACTGCTGCTGCTGCTACTACTGCTGCTGCTGCTGCTGCTGCTAATACTACTGCTACTACTATTACTGCTACTACTACTAATACTGCTACTGCTACTGCAGTTTTTATTTTTGTAGAAATTAACTGACAGTATTCTGTGCTCTGTTTTAGAATATTTTTTTTACATTAGATTTTAGGATGGTTAACTTGCTTTACATCTCTATCTCTATCTATCTAGGTTGCTCTGACATGCTCCAGGGGTTTGGCAGGTGTGGGAATGGAATTGGGTTGATGGGCAGATGTTGAGGAGGGAGCAGGGAGGGTGGCAGTTGAGCTGGTTTTGACTCATGTGTCTGAGTAGAACTGCTTTATGGATTTTCAATGGCTGGAGCCCTGGTGGCATAGTGGTTTCGTGTTGGGCTGCTAACCGCAAGGTTAGCAGTTCAAAACCACCAGCTACTGCATGGGAGAACGATGGGGCTTTCTATTCCCATAAAGTTATAGAGTCTCAGAAACCCACAGGGTCGCCGTTCTGTGGCGTTTCTGTGTCGGAATCCACTCAGTGGCAGGGAGCCCAGTTTGCTTTTGATATGTTGCCGTTAGATGCCTGTGCATTGGCCCCGATTTAGAGTGACCGGGAATGTAACAGAGAGAAACACTGCTTGATCCTGTGTCACCCTCACGGTTATTCATGTGCTTGGGCCCATTGCGGCAGCCACTGCCCTTGCCACCAGCCTTGAGAGTGAGACTGCGGGTGGGGCAGTGCGTTCAGCCTGGCTTTGTTGCATGAACACGGGATGGCTTTGTCAGGGAGCGGTAGCTACGGGGAATCAAGGAAACCTCATCATCAGGACTGACATCGTCCCGTAGAACGCAGTGCGGGGCCAGCCACCGGGGCGTCCCCCACTCTGTACCCTCTGCTCTCATCTTGAGTCCTGCCCGCATCCCTCTCTTCGTCGCCCCCCCCCCCCCCCCCCCCCCCCCCCCCCCCACTGCCCTCAGCCCCCAGCATGCAGAACCAGGCTGCCCACCTCCCAGGTGGCAGGGCAGCTTCCTGGAGCGTGACAGCGAGTTCTGTCTCTGTAGCTCCCACGTCCACAATCCCAGGGAGGGCTGATTGCCAGCCCCGGGGCCCTTGACGGACTGGGTGACGCCATCCCTGCCACCCACCTTGGCATCAGCAACTGAGAGGAAGTTCCTGGAAAGGGTCAGCGGGCAGACAGCCCAAGAGGTGTGCCCAGGTCGGTGGCCACGTAGGCTTGGGCTCCGACACAGGCTGTTCTTAGTGACTTCAGACAAAGCCAACATTGTCTCCTTTAGATCTGGCGACTCATGCTGACGATGGCCCCGGGTGTCACTAGAGCCACAGAGGGAGAGACCGAGTCCCTGGGGGTCCTGACTAAGCCGCCAGCCTTGCACTGGGTGGGCGGCAGCTCCTGTCCATGTCTTCTCATCCTCGCCGTGGTATTGCTGTGGCTGTTGGGTGCTGTGCAGTGGGTTCTGGACTCTTTCCCGAGTAGGATTGTCCCTGGGGGTTGGCACAGTCAGCCTTTGTGCTAGCGGCAGAGGACGCTACCATCCCACCATCAGTGCTCATCAGTTATTGTGACCTTATTACTGTGAGATCATTGGAATTGCTCTGATCAAGGAGGTCTTACCAAAAAAGACCCCCAAACTCACTGCTACTCAGTCCATTTTGACTCATCGCAACCTTGGTGGCGTGTTGGGTTATTTTCCACTGGGCTGCTAATCATTAGGTTGGCAGTTTGAAACCACCAGCTGCTTCATGGGAGAAAGACTCCCGGAAGAGCAACAGCCTTGGGAACGCAAGATCTGCCCTGCCCTCTAGGGTCGCTGCCAGTCGGCATCGGCTGGGAGTTTGCTGGTTGGCGAGTCATCTTACAGAAGCACACCCCCAGGAATTGTCACTTGCTGCTGCGGCTGCTGTCAGGTGCCATTGGGTCGGCCCGCCCCATAGTGCCCCGTGCCCAACAGAATGAAGCACTGGGGTCCTGCGCCATCCTCACAGCTGTTCGTAGGTCTGAGCCCCTTGATGCGGCCACTGTGTCAGTCCGTCTCGACAAGAGCCTTCCATTTTTTGACTGTCCATCCACCTTACCAAACACGGCGTCCTTCTCCAGGGACTGGCCCTCTCCGGACAGCATGTCCAAGGCATGTAAGATGCAGTCTCACCTCCTTGCCTCTAAGGAACAGTCTGGCCGTAATGCTTCCAAGACAGTTCTGTGTGTCTGAAGTCTGCTCACATCTCTCTCCTTCCATCTGCTGTGGAGATAAAAGGGGGTGCAGGCCGCACACCCGAGGGGAGCTCCACTTGTGTCAGATCAGGGTGGTGACCTGAGTCAGCGTGCTGCCTCCCCCACAGCCCTGCTTCGTCCATGTACAAAGGTTGTGAGGAGGGACCACTTAGCACAATGGAGGGCAATTCCATCAGCTCACACCTTGGGATGCCTCCATCATTCTCCCACTGCCGAGGCACCGAGAAGCATGGCCTGGCCCCGGGGACACATCTTGGGGGTGGGGCGGACAGTAGATCAAAATGGGTCAGACTGGGGCCAGACTGTGAATCTCAATCACCCCCGGGGTGGATTAAGAAGAGATTTCTAGAAGTAAATCTCCAGGTCTTTCTTCCAAGACTCCTTTTTGAGGACTCAAACCTCCAACCTTGCGGTGGCCACTGAGTCTGTTGGCTGTTGATACCACCCAAGGGACTCGGGAGGCAGCTACTAAAGGCTTGTGGCCCAGGCGCAGGGCAGACTGTGGACGGGCTGGAGGTGGGGGTGGAGTGGGTAGAGGAGGGGGAGGGGGGTGCCTTCAAGCATGGAGATCTCAGATATTTTTAAATGGACCTTTTCAAGGATGAGCATGTGAATGTGCATGTGTGTTCCTTGATGCAAAATAAAATGTTGGGGGCTTGGCCGCCTGCCTCTTCTGCCTGCCTCTTCATAACCTGCTGTTTATGAAAACTGTCCGCATCTGCTCTGTGGTTTCATGGTAGCTTTACTTTGGGGAACAGAGGAACGGGAAGAGAGTGTATGCGGACACGTTCTTTATTCTCATATTTAAGAAGCCTGGGAGGCCAGGATTCTGGGGTGGAGGGAGGCCTTTGCACTTGTCAGTTAGAGATGAGTCCCAATCACATTCTCAGAACTAAAATTAATCCCCACAATATCCTCCCATAACAGCGCTACCTTAAAGTGACTTCCTACAAGTACATGGCTGATGGCTATCTGACTGGCTCTCCCTGCCCAGGGGACAGTCATTCCCCCCCTTACCTGCCCCCAGCACTGGTGTTAGGTTACTCCTCCAATGAACTCGGACCTTTAGGGTTGGGTGCTTTGTTAAATATGTGGTTACCTGTAATGAGGGGGGCTTGCATGCCCCAAGAGCACATACAGTGATGTGAGAATACAATCTGTCTACTCAGACTTGGTTCCTGAAGATACGGTGGAGGTGAGCACCACTCCAAAGCTTTGTCCCTATCTAAATTTCTCTCTGCTCCAATTACACAGTCGTCCCTTAGGACCCATCCGGATATGAGGCTGCATCTCACACGTTACCTCACGTGGTGTCTCCTTTTCACCCACTGCATTGGCTCTGGAAGCCTTTCCTCTCTCAGGAAAAGCTGCACAAGTAGCTGGCATGTCCCAGTTGGTTTGCATTTGGGACGTGTGTTCCTCCGAGGTGGTGGGGTGGGGTCGGGGAGTGGGGGAGAGAAAGAGGCCGATTTGCATTTTAGAAACTGGAATATCAGGAATTTCTAGAGCAGAAAACAAACCCTTTGGGGCCTGGCTGCCCGAGGAAAGGGAAGGCTCCCCCTCTAGAGCATGAGGAGCCCTAGCGATGTAGTGGTGAAGCATTGAGCTACCAACAGCAGTGAGGTCGGAGGTTCAAAACCACCGGCTACTCGCTGGGAGAAAGACAAGGCTTTCTGCTCCGGTAAACAGTTCCAAGTCCTGTAACCCACGGGAGGTGATGAGTCAGCACTGCCCGACAGCAGTGAGGTCCTGTTGAGTTGTTGTCTTCTAAGCATGCATTTTCTGTTTTGGTTTTGTTTTAAACTGGACGAAAACTAATCCTGCTACTGTTTTGTGGCTTTTTTTTTTAACTTCTAGCAACTGTCAGAAAACTTATATACAACAAGTTTGACATCTTCAATGATTACAAGGAGGTAAGTGCTCCTAATAGTTTAGTCATTTAATATACCTCTGATCTATCCATCCATCCATCCATCCATCCATCCATCCATCCATCCA